AAGGCTGGAGCACACAGCACTGTATCCACTATACGTGTGCAAAAGTTTTCCGAGAAATTCTTAAGTCAGTATCCCAAACTATGAGGTTACATTTTCCCATCATACAATGGGGAAAACAAATTGTCAAGGGAACAACTAAGAATGCCACAGAAACAAATTTCTTATTGTAACCCAATGATCCTCGGTATAAATAAAGTGTCCAGCATATAAAAATTCATTTTTCAAGAACTTCCTTTCTGCTCCAGGGTACCTTGAACCTCACAATTTCTCCCGGTTACCTCTGCAAGCCCCCAAAGGGTTGGGGGAGGGCTTTTACGGGTGCAAGGAGCAAGTGGCCTCACATATCACTTGACAGCCTCCTTTCAAAGGATTCTGCAGTTGCCCGTCTTGCCAGTGCTCTGCACAACTGGCCAGAGCAGTCTAAGCTGATGGACATTTTGAGCCTCAGAATGTTAGACCTATACTGTAAAGGAAGGGACAGAGAGAGTTCTCTCCTATTCTGGGTTGTACTCCGTTATTTGTCCCTAGATCAATTGTGCTTGTACCCAGGGTCCCTTCAAATCTTTCTGGAGAACAGGTCCTGCAGCTTTGGTCTAAAAATCTCTCTACAAAAGGCTAAAACAGCAGTTCCTGAGGCCAAATGGAAAAGCAGGCATAATGCCATTCTCTTGCCCATTCTTGTCCATCCTGATTTTTGCCCTTACATATGACTCCTCTGTCTCCTAAGCAAAAACATGTTACTCATATTAATTCATAGAGACATTTGCAGCAATGACAGATCCATCATCTCCACAAGTTATGTTGGTTATGGCAGCCCTAACAAACTAATATATACATTTTAAGTCAAAATATTAAATCTCATTTATTTTGCAATCTTTTGATAGAAGGCTAAGGCCTTTTTTGAATTAATACCCACTGACTGGAATTTCAGGTTTTCTCCTTTGTATTAACCACAACCAGAAACCACACAAATTATTGTCTATGATTTTCACTTCTAATTTCAAGTAGAGAAAGAAGACACATGTAAAGCAATTTACATGATATATATCTTTGGACTTTTTACTTTCAATCTTTTCTACACTTAAAATGTCTCTTGTAAGTAGCATACAATTACATTTGTGGTTTTAATACAGGTCTGATGAGTTTAGTCTTCTAAATGGAGCATATAAGTCTACTTATATTTAATCTAATTACAAATACATTTGAGTTTAAACCTATCATTTTACTATTTGTTTTCCTTCCTGTTTGTTTTTAGTTATAAATGCTTCTACTATTTTTAGTGGTTACTCTAGATATTACAACATACATCCTTGACTTATAAAAGACTGATATGAATCAGTGCTTTCAGCATTTTCTACAAATACCAAGTACCACAGGACCTTCATTCCTTTACTCCTATTCATGTTTTTTGTGCTTTTGGAGTCATGTGTTTTGATTTATATATATCCATTAATGCCACACGATATCATCATCATCACCACTGTTATTATTATTTACTCATTGAAATATTTACTCTTTCCATTTTTATTTATTCTATTTTATCTTCTCTTTGTTCCTTCTTGCACTCCCATGCTCCCACTTACGACTGTTTTCCTTCTGCATGAAGAACGCCCATTACAATCACCTTTACTGAAGTTCTGCTGATGATGAGGAATCTCAGTATTTGATTGCTGGGAAATGTCTTTATTTTACTTTAAGATTTTTCCAGGTACAGAATTTGAGGCAAGAAATTCTTTTCTTTCAGGTATTTGAATCCGATTTCCATTATTTACTGGCTCCCATGATCTCAATTGAGAAGTCAGTTGTTATTCTTATTGTTTCCTCTTTGAAATCAAAGGGGTTTTTTTTTGTTTTGTTTTGTTTTTTAATTGGGCTGCTTTTAAAATTTTTCTCCACTTTGGTTTTCAGAAGATTTGTTACCATTTTCCTTGGTATCATTTTCTTCATATTTTCTTACTAGGCATTCATAGCACTTCTTGAATCTATGCCTTTATGTTTTCCTGCACTTTTGGAAAATTGTAGCCATTATCTCTTCAAATATTGTTTCTACCCCATTCTCTTTCTCTATTTTTCTAGGACTGCAATTACATACTTATCATCCTTCTGATGTCCTATATGTCTCTTATCCTCTGAAGTTTCCTTTGATTCTCTGTTTTTCTCTGAATATTTTTTTATTGACTTGTCTTTCAATTCACTAATTCTATCTCATTTGACTCTAATCTGCTCTTAAACCCATCTATTGATTTTTAAAATTCAGTTATTGTACTTTTTAGAGTTCCAATTCAGTTATTTGTATGGACTCCAGTTCTCTGCTGAAACTTTTCATCTTATTCTATGTTTTCTTGAAAATATGTCATAGTTATTTAAAGGCTCATGTCTGATAACTCTAATAAATGCTTTTCCTATAAGTCTTTTAAATTTTTTCCTGAGTGTTTTTTCACCTTCACTCTTAATCATTTGGCCTTGCTTACTGGAATGTCTAATATTTTATTAGATGTCAGCATTGAGTGTGGAGTATTTTAAAGATAGTTTGACGTTTTTGATGATGTTCTCTCCCCTCACACAGCATTTATTTTGGTTTTGGTAGACTGCTGGCCTGTGCAAATCACTTTATTTTAATCTGGGGTTAAACTGACTTTAAAGCTTGTTTCAGTCCCTGTTAGGGATGATTCTGCTCATTCTTTTAGTTTGTAGCCCTTGAGGGGTCCCAAATGAAAGCCTCATTTTCTACCAGATACTTAACACCTTCATGGACTCCAATATCTAATTTCTGTTCCTTCAGTCTCATAAAACTGCTAAAAGCTGCCTTCAATATCTCAATTTCTTGGCTGCTTTTAAATTGAGAAATACGTTGATGGGAAAAGCAACACCAAATATTAGGCTCATCCTTTGTTTTTCTATTATTTTGATGATCTTGAACCCTCAGTTTCTAGTTGCTTTATATATTTCTAGCTATAAATTTATTTTCAGTTTATCTAGCTTTTCAAGTCAGATACAAGGTATTCTGTCATCACTGAAAGTGAAGGTTAAGCACTGCTCTGGAGATTATCCTCTTAAATTCTATCATGTCTATATTGAACTGAGCACTTTTAAAATATAGTGTTTAGCTCATTAAAACTAATGGATGACAAGATTCAAATTAATACTTAAGAATAATGATTAGAAACAGTTTTTTTTAAAGTGACACTAAATATATGTGATTTCTTTTTTAGGCTGCTAATGGACTTAAATGTTTAACTCTTTACATTTTAACCTTAAATTTAAACCCTTTACATTTTTCACTCTTTAAAATCATTCAATGATAAACATCTGGGTATATAATTTTGTGTCATGATTTCCTGATTATTTCCTGAGTAGGCTTCTAAAGGCATAATTTCTTGATCAAAGTTATAAACATTTTTAAAGTTCTGCCACATTTTTGCCCTATTGTCTCCAGAAAGTTTTGGCTATTTACATGCTAATAATTAGGCTTCATTTTATGTCTATATCTATAACTTGGTACTGTTTCTAAGAAGCAAGGAAATATTTTGATCCTGGAAAATATTTTTCCCTACCCATCTAGCCATAAAATTTTATAAAGGGAATTTTTATTTTATTATTCACACACGCAAACGATCTCTTTGAGCATGATTCAAAATATATTAAATTTCATCCATAAAGGTCTTTTATTCCTAGCAACATATTTGAGTTTATATTAAAAAGGGAGTTCCCATGAAATTCATGTTGTAACGTTAAATGCTTCAATAAATGCTGAAGTAGAGGTCTGGTAAGTTAAGTCCCACGAGCAGAAAGGTACCTAACATTTTGCACATGGTTTAAGATTTTCACCATATCTGGGTGGCAAGACAGAGCTCATGCATCGTCGGGTACCATCCATTCATTGGGAAAGCTCCATTTGAGTATGTTTAATAAGAATCAGTATAGGGCTTCACATGAGGTAGGAAAAAACCTGGGTTCTGAACTTTGGGATGATGGGACCAGACATTGTGTGGCTACCTCTTAAAGAAGCTACAAGAATATGAGGTGGCCTCTGGCACCTCAGCCGGGGGAGCTGACTTCAAATTACCAGACTTGTCTATTATGAAGTGTTGAAGGGAGAAAGAAAAACAAATAATAAAGTTACAAAATAAAGTTTATTTTATCAAAATTAAAACTGCTTCCTTCTCTCCACTTCAGAGCAACCTCGAGATGGAATGGTCTGAGGATTACGTTGCTATATCCCTTAGCAGTTAGTTCCACAGCAGGGGGTGCCTGCTACAGACAAAATTATAGGGTTAGGAATGTTCACAATTCAGCAACCTGATTGGCTCACGATTCCTCAGGGCTTTCGAATCAAATATTTATACATCTAAATGGGAGCAAGGAAAGGAAAATGGTTCATAAAGAGAGTCCCAGAGCATGTATTATTAAAATAACAGATGGAAATATTATATTTTTGAAACATTCTTTCTATAAAGAAGTCTTTTGAAGTGTGTTTTGGTAGGATAAACTGAGCCAAAAGTAGAGGGGAGAGAGAAAGAGGGAAAAAAAAAGGCTTTATTTTCAAATATTTAGTGTCAGCAGTGTACAAAGTTAGCACTTTCCAAAAAAGGCATGTCTCAAAACGCACTGCAGCACAATGTGTTTGCAAAGTCTCTGCTTTAAATAACAGTCCCAGGGGAGGAATAATTGGGAAAACACTTGATCGTTGCTGCTCAGTTTGTGTGTATATTCTCCTGAATCTTGACCTCTGATATCTTTGCAGAGAGTGTATGGCTTCTCCTGACCGAATTTTTCATGTCTCCTAAACTGATTGAAACCCAAGCTAAGACTCAGGGCATCATCTCATAAAAGCTATTAGCCACCTCATACTTGCTGAGATTTTGGTACCAAGTAGATTAAAATTATGGGTTTTATGCCACATGGGCAATATTGCTGGGTCATGTAGTCAGTGTTTAAAGAATAAAAACAGAGGCGTGAAAAACAAGGTAAAAAGCGAGAAAGCCAAGCAGAAGGCCAAATGAGAAGTTCATTACACTTGCTTTATTTTCCTCTACATGGGAGCCTGTACCCTTGACAGAATCAATAGTGCAGAATTATTCTGTTCTTTCCAGGAAAAATACCCCATTACTAAGCCATCAGTTTGAAGTGCTCCATGGTCAGTCCAATTTCTCCATCATTTAGTTCTCAGGACATGGTTCAGTTACCTTGCTAGTCTCAGCTATATGATGATGTGATTTATTCCATGGCAACTGGCAGTTCCTCTGGCCAAGGAAAGAGAGAATTCGTAGGAACACAATTATTTTGACTTTGTATCCAGCCATGATCTATATCTGTGACAGAGCTCTGAAAGTAATCTCTGGATGAATCTATTCTTATAAGAAACAAAAGGAAGACTGGCCTGGGGAAGATGGTAATGGTTATGAAGTGATAAATAAGGGAAGTTTATTCCCGGTGAATTCCGGGCTATGGATATTTGCTGATCGGGTGATCTAGGTATGGATGGCTAAGAGTAGGGGGATTTGGTGTCTGTATAACAGGCCCTGAGCAACAAACAATAGCCAGTTGGCAAAAGGTAAAAAGTTAGTTATCTATGGCTTCTGAAAAATCAAAGTGCACAATCTGATGGCAGATGGCAGACTCTGCCTAAAGGAAGAAGCAAGAAAGAGAAAAAGAGAGAGCAACTCACTCCCTCCCACCAGCAGGGCCATCACAGTGCAAAGCAAGAAAACGCGTCAGTAATGGCTCCCTAGGTGACAGCATCTGCTCGGAGTTGACTGGGAAAGTCTCAGAAGCTCAGGGTTCCAGCCAGCGGCAGAAAGGACTCTTGGCAAAGCTGCTTCCTGGACCACTTTTGATCACAGGGCTCAGGCTTGGAATGGTTTTCACTAGTCTGTGGTTTCCTGGTCGTGCGTCAGTACATTCTGGCTGAAACACTTCACTTCCTTCAGGCCGGCCCCTCCACCAGTGGCTCCCAGCTCCAGGGTTCACTTTCTCCAGCTTTGAACTAGACTCCAAGGACACTGCTGTCTGCAGCAGGAGCCTTGGATGAGAGGCTAGCAGCTGGGATGCTAACTCTCTCCTACTTGTGATGGGGATCCGAAGTGGGGGGAAAAAAAAAGTTTAAGGGAGTCACACTCAAAGGCCACAGAGGCCTTGAAGCATGGGAATAGTATGTGGTTCCCACACAATCTCGTTTCAAAGACAGTCTGCAGAATAGAATCACCTGGGCAACAAGTTAAATGACACAGATTCCCAGTCTAATCTCAGACCTTTTAAACCAGAATGTCTAAGCAGAGACTGGGAGTCTGTGTTTTTAAGAATCTCCTTCACAATGCTGACATATAGTCACTGTCTAGTAGAATATGCCCTATTTCATAGATTAGAAAACTCAGGCCCAGACATGTGGAGTAACTTTGCTAAGGTAAAACAGGTCCTAACCATGCTCCCAACCTTGGAGTGCCCTGGTGTGCTTTGACTTCATGTACATCACCAAAGAGAACCCATTCTGCTTACACAGGACTTCTTTTAAATCCCACTAGCCTCAACTCAGATTATATAAGAAAAATGTGTAAATTCAGAACAGCTATCAGAAAAGGTAGTGTTTTTGTTTATCTGTTTTTGGTGAGAAGGTTTTATATAAAGGGACCTGAGACACCGGTAGTTTGGATAACTCACAAGTACAAAAAAAGAATTCCTCAGAACTTTGGTGAGTGATAATTACGTAACAGTCATTCAAAAATGTCAGGGTTATTTCTAGAACAAGGTTTCTGCTGGGTGATTTGGGGGGAGTGATGCAGAAAGTCTGGTTGAACAGAAAACCAAAGAGTTTCCCAAAGAAAACGGATGATTTTCCTCTTGAAACGAAATGGTATTAGAAATGCTACAATTTGCAATGGGTCAGAACCATTGTAAACTGAAAAAAGTACCAAAAATATGCTTTTATCATTCACATATTTACAGATCAGCATTCAGATTGTGCCGGGAGTCACAAACTATCTCTGAGAAGTTATAATCCCCATGTGATTAAGCACTTAATGGTAAACGCATGGAAGAAATTTCTTTAAAGGGTACAAGAATAAAAACTGTGGTTAGTAATACAATTTTTGGAGTCAGATATATATATGAATCAGAGTCCCAGATCTACCACTGACTAGCTGTGTGGCCTTGAGGAAGCTATTTAACTTCTTTGAGTCTAATTTCCTTCTCTATAAAATGAAGCCTGACAGGGATCTTAAAAATATTAAAGCATAGTTGGGGGTGGGAGGGAGTAAGTGGTGAGGGGGTGTGCTGAGGTATTAAAAAAAACAAAAGGCAAAGGGAAAAATGCAGGTGAACCAAGATTATCCAAGGAGACATACATCTAGACTAATAAGACCCAAAGAGTAACAAACTAAAAATAGTTGTATGATAGTGAATCTAAAATGTTAAGCTGAGCTTTATCACCCGGAGTCCTGTGCCCATAGGCAAACCATACCCAACCCAAGGAGTAATTAAAGATGTTGAATGTGGCTACAATATATGCATTAGATAAGCTCCAAGAAATTAAGAGTTTTATCTGTTTTGTTCACTCCTGTGCCCAAAGTTTAGCTGTGGAATAAATGAATGGATTGGTAGAATCTAATAAGAGCCCAAAGCCTCAAAACCTTAGCAAAGAATGAGAAGGATGAATATGGAGTGAACATATAAATACTTCTGTACTTCTGGGGGATGGTCTATCCTGTGTGCACCTGTGCCACTTCTGTTAGCCATGACAACGAAAGGATGAAGAGAGTTGCCCTATTATGTGGCCAAAATGCCTGGATCTCTACACTGATACCACCAAAACTGGGGTACAATTGCCTAGAGAGAGCTCCTGACATTGGTAACAAACAGCCCACTACATAGAAGGTATTATTGCTACTATTTCAAATTATATGACATGTCAAGAAAGCCAAAAGTCTGCCCTAAACATCTCCAAAATATTGCTACAATGTAACAAAGACTTTATAGTCAAGTTAGTGACAGTAAAATCAGTCAGAGTGTCACAAAGAACAAGGGTTCTCACTTCACAGCTGTCTGCTGTGTGCCCAGTGCCTTGGTCGGTGGAAGTGATACAGTATGCTGGTTATGAGCTCAAGCCTGAGGTCAGAGAGGTGAGAGTTTTGAACCTCATAATTCTGTGAAATCAAACAATCCATTTATCCAGACTAAGTCTCAGTCATTTTTTTGTTTTTCTCCAAAAGGGAGATAAGAACACATACCTCATAGTCGTTTTATAAAGTTTGAGCCAGAATCTAGTACACTCTTAGGGCTCAACAAAGGCGAACTAACATTTTCATCATCATCATTGTTCATAGTATGGAATTATTGAAATATCTCAGATGTACCATTTTAAAATGAGGTATGTCGTTTCATCTCGTAAATGGAACTGGGAAATATATTCACTGCTGGGCCTCATGGGAGAAGGATCTGAAAACCCTAATCTCTTACAGCAGTTAGGATGGCTATATTTAGCTTTTATGTGTAGCCTTAAGCTCTCAAAGTGCATGCAACTTTTATTTTTTGCAATCGACCTTCTGGTTACACAGAATAAATTTTACCTTTTGCTGATGGAGCAAGATAAATAAATAAATAAATAAATAAATAAATAAATAAATAAATAAAAATACTTGGCCTGGGATCATAAGATGAGCCATAATTATCATAATTCCCCAAATCCCAGGCCCAAGTCCAGCCAAACAAACTAGAGTTTCCATGAGGTTTAATAGTGAGTCAACCCTAGAGGCACGTGGGGCAGTTTTCAAACAATTCACATATAAGTTGTATTTCTTGTTTTGTTCAAAAGAGTGAACTGAAGCAGAGGAATCGGGAATACAAGGCAGTGTAGTAAAGGAAGCAAAAAATCTTTTAGGTTCTGCTGTAAAAACACAGTGCATTTGATTCACGAGCCACAGGATGATTGTTCTGCCAACAGAGAACCAACACAGTGAGGTCAGTTTCAGAGAAAAATTATTAACGCAGTCTGTGTGGTTACATGGAGACCTAATTTTTTAAAATAAAATAAGAAATGTTGAGTCAAATTCTGAGAGGCTAGAAAATAGAATAGAAAGAAGGTGGAAGTAGGAATAAAGAGTCCTGGCTCCGTCCATCAGTAACTGAACTGCCTTGTGGAAATTACATAGTTATTCAAACGGAGATATCTAACCTAGCCTTACAGAATGGTTATAATGACACAATAAAAATGTTTTTTTTAAAGTGTTTTTAAAAAAGCTTAACCACATAAAAAAATGGGAAAAATGTAACCCTAAATCCCATTCTTCTTTACCCACAAATAGATGTCTATTAACCACTAGGTATTCGATATTACAAAGGATTCGAAGACTTACAAAACATGAATTCTACACTTGGAAAGTTTAGTAAAATGTAAAAGGATATAAACGTAAAGATAAATCAAGACCTACTTTGATAAATTACTAAAAGGTAGAAGACTGCTGTAGAAATTCATTCATGCTGATGAGATTGCTAAAAGCTGGAATAGTCAAGGAAAGCAAAATAAAAGGAAGTTGGATTTGAAATATGACATGAAGGATTTATATTGTCAAAATGAAAGTGCGTGGTGTTTATACTACACTGAAGAGTTGGAAATTTACTCTATGGACACTGGCGTTAAAATCTAAAAATTCTTGTGTTGAAATGGATCTTTTGCAAGGCTCAGCTAGCAAAAGTGATTTGGATGGAGATTATAAGTAAGAAGACTTAGTAGAAGATATTTGTTCAAATATCACAACAAAAACCTGAATACAATGATGATTGTGAAAATTAAAATGAAACACAATATTTGAGAGCTGTTTTGAGAGATTTCTAGGAAAAAAAACCTACGAAGTCTGATGACCAATTAGGTGGAGAAAGTAAAGATGAGGTTAGAAATTAGGCAAGTGTGTGGTTTTAAGTCCAAGTTTAGAAAAATATGGTACCATTTATAGACCTAAGGTATCAAATGGAAAAATTTTTGGTTATTTTTGAGAATAAACTTTTTAATACAGTACTTAGGGAGTACTAATGGTTACAGAAATAGTTCTGGCAGGTATGCTCAGAAATGTCACAAGAAACCAGGGGCAGGCTAGAGGAAAATCAGAGACTAGGAACCAAAGAATTTAGGGCCATAACTGGTAGATCCCAGTTGTTTGTAAATATATCATCTACCTTGTAGACAAGGCATCACCTACTATGACATAAGCAATATATCAACTTGACATGGACTTAGGAAAATAAATAGCAAATTTTACTCAGATGTTACCAAAACCCAGGTGCCCTAATGTCTTTCAGAGTGTATGTGGACTATGTCAGCAGAATAACTCTCATTAGAGTACATTCTAAGAATGATGATTTATTATCCTACTAGGATAATAACGGCTGACAAATACCTAAATAATTGTGGTAAGCAGAATAATGGTCCCCCAAAGATGTCTATGTCCTAAACCCTGGAACCTATGATTGTGTTACCTTACATTGCAAAAGGGATTTTGCAGAGGTGATAAAGTTAAGAATCTTGAGATGGGAAGATTGTCCTGTATTATCAAGGTAGTCCCAGTATAATCACAGACTACCTCGAAAATCTTTTAGTGAAAAAGTGAGGCAGGAGAATCAGAATCAGAAAGAGATTTGAAGACGTTATGCTTCCAACTTTTAAGACAGCGAAAGTGGCCATGAGCCAAGGAATGCAGGCAACCTCTAAAAGCTGGAAAGGGCAAAGACTCGGCTTCTCCCCTAGAGCCTCTAAAAGGAATGCAGCCTTGTCAACACCTCGGTATTGCCCAGTGAGACACTTGCTGAACTTCTGACCTACAGAACTGCAAGATAATAAATGTGTGTTTTTAAACCCACCAAGTTTATGGTAATTTGTTACAGAAACAATAGGAAACACATACAATAAATAATATTACATATATTTTCTCAGCAATACTTGCTCATTGTAGAAATAGAAACCATAAAAAGATTTTTTAAAATCATACAAAGATCAAAATTAATTTTCTGCCCATGACAGAATAGCTGGTCCCTGACTTGCCTTCCTGTCATAAACGACCAAAAAACTGGACAAAATATAAGAAATATAAAAAA